CCGCGGATATTTCAATTTGCACAGAGCCAAATCCAAATCCAAATCTAAATCCATAATGGGAGGCAGGCACGCGTTTCCGTTGCGGGTCAAGAACATAATGTGTCCATTAAATCGCAGAACAAGACGCCAGAAAAAACAAAATGTGGGGATCTGGCCAAGTTGATGACGCCTTCGATGGCGCCGCCAAGAAGTGCGGAAACTTCCAAAAAAAAGCAGGCGGAAAAACGCAAATTGGGAAGACCGAAATGCTTAACACCCTGTTCAATCACTACCATACCCTTAGAGAACTCTGGATAAAATACTCGGTTGGTCGTAAAAATTGGTGGAGTCGTGTCTTGGTACTTAACAACCCATCATAAGAAGTTTGGTCAGAATGTGTAATTTAATAAAGTTCCCATGACTCTTTAAACAGGTCAGAATGTGTTCGGTACACAGAAAACCCTGTGGGCTAGAAAGTCTCTTAATTTTGTATGCCTAAGTGTATTAACAGATTTAACAAGTTAAGATCACAGTACATGTCTAACATTTGGTTTTGGTACCATTACCATTTGAATGGGTTCTAAACCCATTTTGATTACAATAGAAATACTTTGATGAAGTACAATACATTTCAGTCAAATTATAATAATAATAGTTATTAATAGTATTTGGGTTGACAACTTATTTGTGTTCATACAAGCTTCCATTAATGACGGGTTAATTAAAGCTGAAATTAAAATAGAGTAAGGCCTAAAAAAGCGCTCTGGGAAAATCAGCAAACTGCGCATTTCGTTGGGCCAACCTCGTTCCACATTCGATTGGGTCATCGCTCACGGCTCGTTAATTTGGCCAACCAAATGGGAAATTGATACAGGAAATGCAGCCCCGATGGGCCTAGTGTTAACTGATAACTCTGCCCAAAATTCGTGCGTCGTCCGCAGCTGTGCGGCTTTGATTAATTGTGGGTCAACACAGATGCAGATGTTTGCTCGCATATATATCTCGCTGATCTACATATGGTTCCGAGTGTGTGTGTGACCACTGGAGCGTTAAATTGCCGCGGTAGCCCGCTTAACCGCCTACCCAGATACACGACTACCCATCGAACCAAACCACCATCCCACCAGCGATACATTCGCCCATCTGCACAGGGAAAAATGTAGCTAAGCCATGTTGGTTTAAAAAATTGGCGCCCAACGTGGGGCATCCTTTAAAAAGCTTCCTGTTTTATATATATTTTTTTAAGCCCAATGAAAAATTTCCTATTTATTTATTATATCAAAGGTGCCCAATAAAGATTAGTATTAAAAGCATATTTTCTCTCAGTGCAACTGTGGGATCCATAGCCCCTTTAACCGTCAACGTAACCCAAGTAGCACAAATTGGCCCGCGGCTTTGCAGCTTATCGCATTTTGTATTTGGATTTTCTGGTATTTGTTGCTGTTGGGAAAGCGGCCCAGCGGTTTCATTTCCATTTCCCCCAACTAGCGAGCCATTTCCATTATGAGAATTGATGGCAAGGTCAAGCGGTTGGATCAGCGTTCGGAAATTTGTCTCTGGCAAATGCGCATGCGCAGCTTCAGGCCTGACTTTATCTCTACAGTCAAAACTCTTTTGCTTCAACTATAAAACACGCATTTATTTTAGATAACTTTTCATATGCCTCTCTATTAGTTTCCTAACTAATTTTTACAAATTTGGGCAGCAAAATTACTTTATTTAAGTGGGCATGTCACTTCAGGTCCAGAAAATGCCACCTAATGAAGTTTGACTGTACTTGATCGCCTCCCTCTTTTTGACTTTTGCTTGCGCTGCTCATAAATTGTTGGTAAACAAATTGTTGTTGCTGCAGGCCTTGTAAAGATCAAGAGTTTTTGAAATGGGGGGATAATAGAGAGTATGGGGAAGCTTGATTAATTCGATAAACCAAACGATAAATATCGCCAGCTGGTTAATGGAAGCAATCCAATTAATTTCTAACTGTTTGCGATATGGACCTTAAAGAGTGTATACGGAAGACTAAAGATTATAGTGTGGTTCTCTTAATCGAAGTCAATTAATCGATCGTAACCTGCTGGATATAATCGTTGTAAGGGTAATTTTGATCGATAATGTTTGACTAAGATGTGGTAATATAATGAAAATTAATCCATTTTGATATTTCGCAAAAAGGATTTTGTATTTTAAGTAATCAAATAGGTGAAGATACTTTCAATGTTAGTGATTGTATTTTGAAGATATTTTTTAACCTTTGTTAGCATTTTATTTTTTTATTAAAAAAATAAATGTATGCATACCCTCCACTGTGAGGATTTCGAGGGATACGAAGACGAAGGTCCGGGAACAGGCTTGTCCATATATCTTTTACTTTATACGGGTGTTGTGTGGCACATTTATGGGAACTGACATGGCGACAATAAAAATGTTAACACGCCTATGCCCCAAAAGAGAGTGAAGAGCGGGGGGTGCATGAAGATATAGAGGGGCATGGCCATATTTAAACATAATTTCGTTTTTTATTATCCTTTCATGACAAAGACGAAGCCGCACCATAAACAAATACACGCATATATCCATATATCCATATATCCAGAAGAATCTGAAGAAGAGGCGAAGAAGGCTTGGAGACAATGACGTTTAATAGCGGTCGCTGAGTGGAAGGCAACTGAAGAAGGACCCATACGGAAAGAAAATAGGCATAATACGATGATGAAGTGGAGTATTGAAAGCTGGAAACCAAAAATTTAGAACTTTTTTCAAAACAGGCAAGGCAAACTTATTTAACTTATAAAGAATTGGTATATCCAATGATATTTCTTTCCAAAAGATATAATACAAGTCCTATTTATAAAGATTTAATCTAATGACATGATATTAAACTATCTTTTTTTTCTGTGTAAAAAAGGAGGAGGCAGGGGAGAAGCGAATGAGAATGGGAAGACGAAGGACAACGAGCAGGGGAAAGGTGAGCGAATGCCGGTGAAGAGGGAAATGCCGGCATAGGTAAACAAAACAACTCGCCGGCAGGTAAATTACAAACAGCAACAGAAGAAGAGGAAGAAAAGCCGCAAGACACTGAAAGAAATTCAGATTTTGTTGCTTTCTTGATGAAGAAATATTTTAGTTAAAGTAAATATAAAAGGTTTTAAGACAAATCCAACTATTATAACTGAGGATTTTGCTTATTTTTCCTAAATCTTAATATATGAACTAAAACGCTGAAGTTATTTTTGTTTCTGTGTATTTAGCTGAGGAGCGAGACAACATGATTGGAGTCGCCTCTTTCATAATTTAGTGATGTTTTTGTCTGGCTTTGGATTTGAATTTGAAAGAATCTTGAGAGAGAGAAAGAGTACTGAGGAGTGAGTGAGAGCAACTGACATATGGGGCCACACACGGTGAAAAGTGCCAGGAGGGAAAGAGATGGGGAGACGGACCCAAACAAATAGGGGGGGACAAAAGAAAGAGAGGGAACTATTATGAGTAGGTCCAGGATTTCCCAATTTCAGGTCATATTTTGACATAATTTTTGATGCCACTCATTTAAGTACAGTGGGAACTGGTCAAGACAAATATAGATACAAGAAAAAATGAACTGATTAATATTATATTATATAATATGAAAAAACACATCATGTATTGATGGTCTTAAAAACAAAACCATTTTACCCAATGTAATTTGTTTACCTTCTAAAAATCTTTTAGTAGATTTTGCTTTATAAATATTGTAGGTATAATTAAAAAAATCTTCTGTATTAAAGAAAAAATATTTTTAAATATAAAATTATATAAATTTACAATGAGGTATTGATCAGATTCATCTTTAGCCAGTGATGACTTTATTCCAGATTTCACTTCTATTCGATTAGGCGGTATTACCAAATAAGTGATAAGATATGGGAAGCAAAGCTTGATCGATGACATCGTTGTGTTATCACTGTAATGGCCCACAAAAAAAGGGGTGTTCTCTTTCGTTTTCGCAGTAACTGCGGGCTGTAAGACGTATAAATTTTACTTATGTCGCCATAAACTAAAATGAAAACGACACACCCCTCCGCCCCCTAAAAAAACAAAATAGCAACAAAACAAACCCGAAAAAAATGGAAAAATTTTGCGTGCGTTGCGTTAAATGTTTTTATTTTCTTGTTTTTCGCTGGCTGTAGTTAAATTTGTTTTATTTTTTTTTGTTTTGGTGCTTTGCTTTTTGGTGGTGTGCGCATAAAATTTGCATAAATTACACGCGTCGACACTGACAAGTAAATTCACTTTGAAGGCAGACAACCCCCCTTTGCCAGTCGACCCCCTCCCAAAACCGAAAAACCGCCGCCACTGTTATTGCTTTATTTTTGTCACATTCAGCAGCAGTTAGTCGAGTGCTGTTTTAGGCCATTATGTTAATGAGTTTTAATTGAAGAGTCCGCAATATGAGCATATAATTTATGGCTGGTTTTTAATTTTTTTTCCTCTGAAAAATTTCCATATAATTTTGGACTCATGTGGGCGCCGGCAGGGGGTGGGAAATGGTATGGGGGTTGGCTGGGTTAGCAAGACTTTTATGTGATCAGCAACATGGTGTCTGGGTTTTAAATTTCCATATGGTGAATAAGTTATGTTGACTGGTTGTTGGGTGCATTAAATTAAATGGATTATGTGGGTGGAAATCACATTTAATTTTAAGGTTTTGGTTTTTATTTTACCAAAGGGACCAATTTTCCAAACATTTTAGTGAGGGTAAGAAGTAAAAGGACTTTAACTGGTAGCCAATTGTTCTGGGACTTTTAATCAAGATTTTTTATAATTTATTTTCTTATTTGGAATGTTGTCACATTTTGATTACCAATGACTCAGTGGCCAATGACCAACAAATATTAAATTGGGAATGTCCAAATTGTATTTGTTTGCTTATTTTAGGTGTTATTGTGTGGATGATACATAAGTTTCCAAAGAATAAAAGCTGGCCTTTCACAGGAAATATAAATAATCATCAAATTGATAATGTTCAAAGGTATTTTTCTGTATTGTACTTTAAATTAAACAAATATAATTAAGCTGGGAGAACTCATCTGAACAGAAACTGTGATTACTGAAAGTAGTTGGCGAAGGCCCTTCGCAATTTGCTGAAAACACTGAGTCCGCTGCCTGCCGGGTTTCGCCCCTTTTGAGGGGCCGGTTGAACCGAAGGGTCATCCTCCAGGTGACCCAAATGCCAGCTGATCGGTAGTTGTCCAACCACCAGGCGCTTGGCCATAAGGATGCCCCGTTGCAAATGCTCCGCGGATGCGAATCGCAGTTCCAGACCCTTGTTCCTCTTGCGATAGGCGGTCATTGAACAGAATCGTGAAAAAACGGACAACAAATGGTCATCGCTGCCGGGTGGAAAGCCATGAAGGCTTAGCCACTCATTGCTTCGCAAATCCTCCGATGAGCTCCTCGTCCTGGCCTGCTCCACATCCTCTTCCGGTCCCTCCCCGTTCTCACTTCCGCTTCCGCTCTGCGAACTCTCGTCGGACATGTTTATGCTGGCAGTCCTGAATTTTGTGGGGGATTGGCTTTTCCAGGTAAGCTAAGTTGATTTCTTAGTTATTTTTAAATGTGTGACATTTATTTCTGAGAAGGTTTGTCTTTATTTTTTGGGTTAACCAAAGAGTATACGAGTGATTCTTTGTATTTTTTTTATTTCTTTGTATCGACATTATACCATTGATATTTGATTTAAAAAAAATAAAAAAATTAATCCATTTGACAGAAGCAAAGATATGGTTCTTATATAATTAAGTAAACAATTTGATATTTAAAAGTTCAAGTTTATAAAAACACGTGTGAGATAAATTATAAACAAAACTGCAAGGTAAACAATAAGACTTGGTTTTAAATTTCGCAATTCTGTTCTGGGCTTTTTTGTTGTTATAAAATTTTATAAACAAGTTTACCTGTTGTACATTTTTACAAAATTAAAAAAAACTTGTACATTAAAAAAAACATTATTTGTATATTATTTTAAAATATTTAAAATATATGTATGTATTTTGTGGAATTGCAAGAAATATGAAACGGTTATGCATACAGGACAAACGTGTGTTTATGAACGTATATTTGTATTTCTCTTATCGAAAATGCAAAAAAAAACCCAAAACGCTATCGAAAAAAGCGGAAGAGAGTAGGGGTAAGATAATAAGAGAGTTGGCAGCTGTTTAAACATAAAACTCAACCTCAAACACTCGCAGATATGTGTTATTCAGATATTTTTCTCGATAATCGACCACAACACCAAAACTACTTCATTTGAATGTATTTTTCTTTTATTTATATTACATGTAGTAAATTCTTTAAAAAATTATGCTAAGGACTTTGCATTTTTGAGATATAAACGATCTATGTATAACCCAAACTTAACCATAATTTTCTACAATACCATTTCATATCACATGGCCCATGGACTTGCTCTGTATTATCGAAAATGGAGTAGGGCTAGGCCAACATATGTACGAATAGATACTGTATATGGCATCCCAGATACTTCCTATTCTCCCCTTTTTTACTGTAAGTGGGTCAAACATTTGGGGGCCATACGGCACCAACTTTTTTTTTTATTTTCCGATAGACACTATCAGTGGGTGAAAGGGAAACAAATAATACCACTGGATTCGGAATAATCATAATTGTTATGTCCATCGCGATTGAACTCTAATCCGTATCGCCTCATTTTATGGATGGAATGCCCAAGTGTACTTATTACTACGCCTTCAATATTGTTTATTTTTGAGGGATCTTCGTTTATTGTTGCTGCGATCAGTGGAAATTCATCGCATCCGGAGGAGGCAATCAATTTTGAATTCGATTTGGTGTTGCTTTGGTTTTTAGTTGGCTCACAAAAGAATCCAATGTTGCCCTCCACTTGGAAAACAAGAGATTTGATTCCGAAATTTAGGAGGTTTTTGAAAAATCCAAAAAAGATTTATTTTCCTTAAAGTTATTGACTAAAATCTGAATCTCGTATTTTTGACCAAAATCGGAACTCCATTTTTCGCACTAAAAATTAACTTTTTTGGATGCTAAAAAAAAACTAAACGTCAGATCGTGGAATGTCATACCTCATTGAGCTCGTTGCTTAATTTCCAATCCATTGGCATTCAAACCTGGAAATTTTTAACTTTTCGCCTTTTTCGCAAAAAAAGACGATGCACAACACCCTTACAAAAAATGCGAAAATTGGTCAAAAAATAAATTTTCCTTAAAGTAATTGGGATAGTTAGCAGAGGTAGCAATCTGTTCAAAACAGTCGGTCTTTTAGCTGTATGCCTTGATTTGACTAAACTACGACTGAAAAACCGGAAAGAAAAATAGTATTTTTGACTAAAATCTGATCTATTTGTGACCAAAATCGGAATCCCATTTTTTCGCCCTACAAATGCACTATTAAAAAGAACTAAAGGTCAGATCCAGAAATGTCATACCTCGTTGCTTAATTTTCAATCCATTGGCATTCAAACCTGCAAATTTTTAACTTTTCGCAGTTTTCGCAAAAAAAATACTACTTATATCGATATACTTCATATAATAGATAAAAGATAAAACATAAAATATAGTTATTATGAGCTAAAAATAAAATCGCATTCTCAAGAAAAATTGAAGTCAAAGCAATCAGTATTATCAATGAACTTTTATTCGACAGAAAAATGTCATTCATAGTCTTATCTCAGCTTGGACAATTTTCATTCAGAGCCTCGCCATAAAAATTTTTAGAGTGGGTTTAGCATTTGAACTGCGATAAGCTTTGAATGTGGAATCAAAGCGAATTCTTACAAATTCGCCAGCTTTGGAAATCAATGCAAATTCCGACAGCCCCACAAACAGCCATAAACATTTGCAAGTTCATTAGGTCCGCTGACTTTTATGGGTGACTGTGATCGCTGGGCTAATCTGAGAATCGCCCACACGGATATTGAAATACTGGAATACTCGAAAAAAGCAGGCATTCGTGTTCTCAGATATTCAAATAACCCCTTTGGTTGGGTCCCTAAAGGGCCCTATAGGGCCTTTTATCACCCTCGCTCTTCTCGTAACCCCTATTTCTCCCTCTCGCTCTCACATTGTCACGTTTCCGTATAAAATTCTGTTGACTCTGCGAATTGGGGGTACGACAATAAGAATTTCAATGGATCACAGCTATAACTCAGCAGTGAAAAAAATATAAGTGGGTTGGGGTAGGTAATCAAAATAATACGAGGTTGGTATTAAAAAGTATAGAAAAAATGCACAATATTTTTTGATAACTTTAAAAAATCTTACGGATCCTAGCTCAGATTGCCCAAAATATATTATTTAGAAAGGAAATCTTCAAAATATTGTTTGAAAACATTCAAAAGTCATAGGGATCCTAACTCATATTTCCTAAAAAATATTATTCAGAATTGAAATACCCCAGAATAAAAATAGAATAATATTTTTAAGGCAGATATATAATTTTTTAACGCTACATACTTTTTTTTTATTTTTTTACTCTCTAGAGATTATGAGATCTATTTTTAACGGACCTTTTAAATTCAGGGGATAAGTTTTTATAATAGCCCATTTGTAAATATAAATTTTTCTAGTATTATTGAGAATGGCCCAATTGTAAACATACATTTTTTAGTATTATTGAGAACTAGAATTAATTTTTTTCTGTGTCACAGGCGTGGAATCTGATCCCTTGCATGCTCAATTAACTTTGTGAATTCTTGAGCCGCCGAACTTCCAGTGAATTTGAGTGCTTTTGCTTCAGCACGGTGGTGCAGAATGGCTTGGTGGCTCAGTGGTGGTGCAGTATGCCGTGGTGCAGCGGTGGGTGCCTGGCAAATTTATCGCTCTGCCAGAGCTGTCAGCCTGATGAGCGTCGACATGGCAGGCCGAAAAGAACAGCAACAACCACGGTGGCTAACCCGCTCACCCACCTCCCCTTGGGGAACCACCCCCTCACCCAATCGTCACTCCAGTGAAACCACTCAAACGCAACTACAACTGCAATCCTGTCCAAGCGAATGCTCGTTAAATGTGCTCAAATTTGAATTTCAAATGCGTTTGGCTGTTGCTGCCGTTGTTAACATTTTGCAGAAGTTAAGCACTGAGAGAAATATATCTTAAAATTAAATTTAAGATTTCTCTGTATATTTTTTCTGTATATTAAGTACCAACGATTTATTTTAGATGCATATTTTAAGATAATAAATGTTTTAAAAATTCTAACAAATATAAAGGTTTATTCTAAATTTAGAAATGGATTTTTAAGAAATTTTTCAATTAATTAAAGTACCAGAAACCATTGTAAAGTATGACTTTAAAATAAAGTTTTGTATCTTTGATTTATATACATAGATTAAACAAATTTAGGCTTAAACCCGTTTTAAAAAATTGTGAATTATTGAAAAACCCAAAATTATAATTCCGGAAAGAACAATATTAGGTGTTACCAAATAAATGAGCAACCAGAATTTATTTCACGTGCATTAGTGAATGATGTTGCTGCTGCAGTTGCAATTTCTGTTGCAAATGCAATTTCTGTTGCACTTGGATTTGCAGTAGTTGCTGTTGTGTGGCTGCCTCATCTGCCAGTTGTCAGCGGAAGTGTTGATGAATTTATTTGTCAAAATCGCATTAAGCGGCTGACTTAATGAAACCACCACCGTTGCCATTACCACTAAAAGCAGCACCACCCGCACTCCTGAACACTATATCTTTATATATATATATATCTTTATAAGTCCATGTCCCTGTCAGTATTTCCCATTGTGGTGCGTATTTGTGTGGCGCTGATTGACATTTAAATGCAAACTGTCAGTGGGGTCTGGTATTTTTTTTGTTTTTTTCTTTTTGGAATTTCATTCATTGCATTGTTATTGAACCCACAATGAGATATCTCAACGGTTGTGCCTTAATTAATCACAGCTGCAGCTAATGGGTTAAGCGGTACATACCTGAAAGAAAAGGGAGAAAATGTTCAATTAATATTTTTGGAATAGTGCATAGAAATAGGTAGTGTTGGTTAACGGCTCAAAGAGAATCACAGCAGGGAAATGCAAATCTTAACCCCTTTCTTTTTCCTTTGTTTTTCTGGTGTTGCTGGCAGACGCAGCCGCAGCTAATTTAAATTCAAATTTAAATTGTTTGCCGTCGCTTTTTTATTGACAGCAACAAGCTGCAGCAGCCAAAGAATAAAGAAAGCCAAGCTGTTGAAAGTGGTGAATTCTTAGCTTTTTTATAGCCGCAACATATTAAAAAATATGTTAGTGTTCGAAAACGATGATATTTAAGAAACTATCAAGTTTTCTATTAAGTAGATGTACTACATTAATATTTATTTTATTTTTATTTTATTTAGTTATTTTAACATTACATCTGTATAATGATCCTCATAATCTGCAAAACTATAATGACTTAGTACATTTTTTTTTTAATATATCGTCTATCTAGATTTGATCTTGAAAAGTAATACCTTTTCCATAAAATAAAATTCAAATAAAATATAACATTACTAATATCACAAACTATAATATTTTACAATAAGCTCTTACTTATATCATGGAATGTGGCAATATCTTAAGATAATACCCATTGAAGGGCTCGATATCTCAGCCCGGATAAGATAAGGCCAGCAAAGTGCCAATGG